TGCCGGGCGGGGATGAGCCGGGGCCCGGCAGGGTGGGAGGCACCAGGACACCTGGAGGGAGAGCGGGCGTGGGGCCAGCGGAGGGCACAGAGCATCCCGGGCTGGCTGAGGGCTTCCTGAGCCCTGGCACGGCCTCAGCCCCACTGACAGCACCGTGCTCCTCCCGCAGCCCGATGGCACCAGCACACCCCTGGAGATAGTGCTGCTGGACAAGGTGTCCACAGGCTTCCCCGGTGTGGTGCAGCTGCTGGAGTGGCTTGAGCTCCCCAATGCCATCGTGATGGTGCTGGAGCGCCTGGAGCGGTGTCAGGACCTGCAATGTTTCATTCGGGCACGGAGGTTCCTGTCTGAGGAAGAGGCATGGAAGCTGTTTCGGCAGGTGCTGGGGGCCGTGCATCACTGCACCGGTCCTGCACTGTGACATCAAACCAGAGAACATCGTGGTTGATCTGGACACCGGCCAGACAAAACTGATCAACTGCAGCTGTGGCACCTACCTTCAGGAGACAGCCTACACTCAATTTGCAGGTGAGCCCACACAGGGGTAGGCTTCGGGTCCCGGCATCTCCTGGCCCAACATCTCCTGGCCCAACCAGAGTGTGGCAGCAGGGATTCTCCCAGGGCTGGGGCTGGGGCTGGGGCAGCCAGCCTGACAAAATCCCCCGTGGGTGGTGGTAGCAGAGAGGGGGAGCCAGAACCAGCAGGTTTGGTGTGCAGGTGAGAATGGGCTTGGACTGCTGTGCTTCCCTGGTTTGCCTTGGTTCAAAATACTTTTGGGCAATGCCAGCAGGGAGGATGTGGGTATGGTTTTTCCCCAGCACTGAGTGGGTTTTTCCTTTGTGTGTCATGGTAGAGTCTTGCCAGGGTTTCTGCTGCCCTCTTCCAACACCAGTGGCTTCTTTTCCAGCCACGGATTTGTACCCAAGTCCCAGCTGCTGGTGAGAGGGCAGCAGGTCACCCCATGTGCCACTGGGGCAGCCCCAACATGCCCAGGGATGCTGGGGTCAGGCTCTGGGAGCAGCAGCATCCCCCTGATGAGCTCCATCCATATTCCATAGGAACACCGTCATACAGCCCCCCGGAATGGAACGACTTCGGGTGGTACCATAGCGAGGCAGCGACCGTCTGGTCCCTGGGCATCCTGCTGCATGAGATGGTCTGCGGGGAGCACCCTTTCAGGAGGGGCAGGAACATCAGCTGGGCCCAGCTCCCGCTGCTACAATGGCTCTCCCAAGGTGGATCCTCATCTCCGGGCACGGGGGGAACACCAGTGTTGGGAGACTGCAGCGGGCTCGTGAGCATCCCGCTCTGGCAGCTGCTGAGGAGGTGGCACATGTCCTGCTCTCCTGCTCTCCTCCAAAACAAAGAATTGATGGGAAAGTTTAGGCCCAGCTCTGAGCACATTCAGTGTGGCCTGAGCATGGGAATAGTGGGGCAAAGCAGACAGGAGCCTTCTCCAATGACCAGTGGTTTGTGGTTTCTCTCCCCAGATTGCCAAGTTCTGATCAGGCGGTGTTTATCCCTGCACTACTTGGACAGGCCCTCATTAGAAGACCTGTTCAGTGATCCCTGGATGCAGGATATTCATCAGCCATAGAAGAAAGGAGAGAGCCACAGGCACAGTGATGCAGGGACCTGGTAAGTTACAGCTCCACACATACTCTGGCAATCAGCAGCAAAGAAACACAGACTTTTTGTCCTGCCTGTGTCACTGCATTGGGGTCATCAAATGGGAACACACAGCCCTTGTGCTGGAGCTGAGGTGCTCTGCCCAGCACTGCTGGCTGCCATCTGAGCTGGTTTTGCTTGTCCTGGTTCAGTGACAGCCGGGCCCTGGGCAGAACCCTGACAGCCTGGTGTCACCCCAGGGAAGAAGGAGCCCCTGGAGAAGCTGTACCAGGTGGGCCTGCTGCTACTGCTGGAGACATGGAGGACAACAGCAAGGATGACAACCTCTTCCTCCACCTGGCCAGCAGCAGCTGGCGATGATGGACTTTGATTCTGGCACCTTCTTCAAAGCCAGGCTCCACAGTGAATTTTCAGGTAAGTCCAGACCCAGGGGGATGCTCCCAGATTTGTGCCTTGGCCGGGAACCAATGGTTTCCTTTTTGCTGGGGTGGATGCAACTGATTCTTCAGTGGCTGCCCAGCTGTTTTTTGGCAGGGCTGGGGTGGTTATAAAATGGGAGTGGGATCCTGGCCCTGCCAACAGCCCCCAGCACCCACCGTGCCCCAGGCTGGGGCTGGGGCAGCCAGCCCGACACAAACAAACCCCCATGGCAGGAGCACAGGTGGGACTCCAGAACCTGAGCACGGCTGCTTTGCTGTGCAGGCAAGGAAGGGCTTGGGCTGCTCCACTCCCCTGCTTTGCTTTGGGATCACTGTGATTTTGGGGGACAGTGCAGGGGGGAAGGGAGAAAGCATGGGCTTCCCTCACCCGTGGGTGGGTTTTTCCCTAGAATGTGGGGGTTGGGCCTTCCTCAAGCTCCTGACAGACATAAGATTTTTTACCATTTTACTTGTTTCCCCTTTTTGTCTGTAACCTATTTTCATTAATTTGTTGTTTGTTTTTCTAAAGGAAGCATTCTAGGTGGGGTCCAGTCTGGATGAGAATGTGCTTGGGACTAGCTGTGGCGTGGATGGGCCGTGCCCTTGGAGAAGACTGAGGACATCGTTTGGGACCAGCTTTTCTTCTGGCAGCGGATGGTGTGAGGTGGGTCCTCATCTCCTTGGCATGGGTGGGACAAGAGCTTTTGGGAGATGGCAGCGGGCACAGAAGCATCCTGCTCTGGGCAGCTGCTGAGGGGCTGGATCTGCCGTGGCTGGCTGCAGGCTGGGCACATGTCCTGCCCTCCTGCTCTGCTCCCCAAGGCAGCAGTGATGGGCAGCTTTGGGCCCAGCTCTGAGCACGGCCAGCATGGCCTGGGCACCGCGGCTGGCTGGGACAAGGGGACAGGAGCCTTCAGCTGACGGGCGGTTTCTGCTTTCTCTCCTTGCAGCCGGGCTCTGCGGATGCTGAGGCTGCTCTGGGCTCTGCCAGGGCTCTGCTGGGCTCAGCACCGGGCCGGGATCAGCCAAAGAAGAAACGCTGTGACCTGCAGCAGAGACTTGAGCATTTTGGCAATGCAGCTCAAGTCTGCAGAGTGTCCACCTCCAAGGGAAAACATGACACCCCCCAAAAATTAAACTTGTTCCATAACTTCTGAAATGAAATCCATTTGGGATGACCCCAAATGACATTTTTCATCTTGCTCAAGCTGTAGCTCAGCCCTTCTCTGAAGGAGTTTTCTCCCACACCTGCCTTTTACTTCACAACTGCTCCCTCCATTCCCCCAGTGAGTTCCCAGCCCATCACAGTCTCCAGCACACTGCAGCCTTCCTTGATGCCCCTCTCCACAAGGAACGCCAAGCCCCAGTCTCAGGGACTCATCCTGTCACTGGCTGAAGAACAGCAATGTTTCAGAAGTCTGGTGGGAGTTTAGTGTCTTTCAGAGCTGCTCTCCAGCCCTCCGGTCTCCTCACTGCTGAGTTCCCACTCCCTTTTCCGCATCCATCAGGATGATCTCTGTGAATCCCCTTGTGATAAATGGAAATGATTTGTGCTAACTAAATTGTAACTGTTTGGAAAGTTATTATTAGAAGCAATCAGGGGAATTGGTGTTACAAGCAGATGTACCCCTTTAAAAATGTTACATGTCAAAATTAAGATAGATTATGTAGTTCTGGGATAAGTAATGTCCCAAGAGAAAATTGACCATGAGATGGACAAAGTTGGAACGACTTTAGGCATAGGGCCTGAAAATTATGAAATGTAAGACTAATTAGTGGAACACAATGCTTACTTGCATAACACAACACTTAGTAAGCATGCACAGCCTTTAAAGTTATCCAGAGGACAACAAGGATGAGTGCAAGCCTTCATCTAAAAGACCACCAAAAGAAGACTGAAGACCCCCTAGCAACAAATGAAGTATGCACCATGACGAATAGTGACGTAAAGTCAAAGAATCAGAAATATGAGAAAACTTAAGAGAAACATTAATGAATATTATAAGCATACAGTATATGAGTTTTGTTTGAATTGCTTTGTTTTGTATGTGAGGTGGGGTGAGAAGTCCTCTCTGTAGCTCGGTCAGTTTTGCTTATGCTTTAATCATACTTAATTACTGGCAAACTATATTCACATACATACATACATACATACATACATATATATATATATATATGAAGATATTCACTAAATTGTACTCTTTTACTAAATTGTATTCCTTTTATACCAAATTGCTATTCAAATTACTAAATTGAATTCTTTTACTAAATTTTATTCTTGTATTCAATTCACTAAATTGTATAATTTTTTCCCTTGTTATTTAATTGCTATTAACTCAGTCGATCTAGTTGTCTGATTTTAATTTCATTTACAACAGCACCAAGAAGAAAAGGGTCTTACTGAGAGCAAGCAAACTTAATCCTCTGCCAGGACACAAATTTAGAGGGCAAAAAATTAAAAAAACCCACAGCATCAGCCACACTTCTTAGTGAGAAGGGTTGGAACTCTCTGCCCTCAACACTTCCCCGGCAGGTTTACAAAGGGAACTGGGATCTAAGCTGTGCCCTCTGAACCAACAGAGCCAGCCTCCCTTCAGGGTGAGAAGCCACGGCCTCAGTTATAGCCCTGGGTGCCTCCTGTGCCCCAGAGAATGGCTGTGGTTGTAAATGTGTGTTTGGCTGCAGCACAGGGCCAGGGTGAAGCTCGGCAGCCTCATCAGAGCCCACGGCCGTGGCCCTTCCCTGCTGTGGCCCTCACCTGGCCCGGCCCGGCCCGGCCCGAGCAGCCCGGACTGGCCTCAAGGGATGGGCTCCACCTGCCCGCTGTGCCCACAGGCCAGGCCCCAGGGCTCACAAGAGGCTTCCTCCCAGCTTTGCAAAACCTCAGCCAAGAGTGTCCCCTTTGCTGTGCTGAGAAGAGTAAAAAACCCTCTCAATTTAACCCTGCTGCACTCCTCATGGGGGATCCCTGCACACCTCAGGAGAGAGCCCAAATTTTCCCTGTGTGTCTCATGAGGTGCAGGCCCAGGTGATGCCACTGAAGGAAATGTGCCCTCACAGCCCAGGGACGCTCAGCATGGGCTCCCCCAGCCCCTCAGGGCCCCACCGCTGGTCACTGCAGCCCCTGCCTGGCTCCTGCCTGCCCACACTGTGGGCACCCCCGGCTGTTCCTGGACATGGAGCTCAGCCAGGGCTGGTGCTGCGTGGGCTGTGCTGGTGGTACCAGCCAGACACTGGGGTGAGAGCTCCATCTCTTTATTGGAACAAAAAACATGGGCCAACCCCTGCTCTGGTGCACAGGGGCTGCCCAGTTTCAGTCCTGGCAGGGACCAGGGCCAGGGGAGTCAGGGGCAGAGGGTCTCGCACGGGAGGTGGGGGTCTTGGGATGCCCTCAAGATGGGGATGCAGATGTAGCTTGGCACATGGGGACAGATGTGAAGAGCGGGGATGACAGATGCAGCTTCTCAGTGACCAAAGTCTTTCGCCAGTCTTCTGAAGCTGCAGAGGTGCTCCTGTGGAGAGAAGAGGTGGCTGAGGCCCCCAGCTGCTGCTGGCACACAGGGACCCTCCTGCACAGCAGGGCCCAGAGCTGCCAAGGCTCCCCAGCACGGCTGGAGCTGCTGGCACAGCTTGGCCCAGCTGGACAGCTGCCCCTCAAGGCCCTGGAGAGCAGGGGATGG